CTGTGAGGGAGGTCGTCTCCTTGAGATTATCAGAATGAATCACGGAACATTGCCCTGAACCAGCTTGCCTTCTCCAATTTCACATCATAATTTAAAAGTCTAGTCATAACCCAGTTTGGACTCCCATTTCAAAGAAAGCTGGACCGCTTTTGGCTTGCCGGGCAGCTGCAGAGGGAAGATCGCTGCGACAGAGGCTCAGAGCAAAGGTGTTGCTTTTCTCAGACAAACAAAAAGTGAGCTCTAGGTAGAAAGAGAAAAGGGAAGCTGAGATAGTTTGAACTTGAGCAAAATATTTGTGAATCTCATATGATTTCAGGTACTCAGTGTTATTCTGACATCTCTCTGGAGTGAGAAAAAGAAAAAAGTTTTTAAATCAAAAACCAAAAACACGCAAAGTATTTAGTCAGTTGCATCACACCTGATCCTTTCTAAAGGAAATTACGTTTGAAAGATTTAACACGCCAAGTAGCCACCACTGCAAATAGCTGTTGGTGTCACAAACACCTGGGATTTTTTAAGAGGCTGTAAATGACATCACTGTTGTAACCTTGGCAATCTGGCCTCAGGATGTACCGTCAGGGGCTTCATTTCCAATCAGATGTGTTTCTCAGTGGGAATCCCAATCACACCTATTCGTTAGCGCTCAAGGCTATCATAAATGTGGTTTAGCATTTGGTCTTCACTTCAGCAGGTTTTGTTTTCCATCTTAAGGTTATTTCCCCCTATACAAAAGCCTGGCCCTAGAATGAAGGGAATTCTGCTACAGGGTCATTATCACTTCGGGTGCTTTTCTTCAAGATTGGTTTCACCACCCGATTTATCAAGGAAGCTTCATATAGTCCCACTTTTAAAAAGAAATATTACATTTAAACCTACAGAACCTAAGCAACAATGGATAATATGGAGTTAAATGCAGCAGCAAATGCCATTTTGCCATGAAATGTTCAGGATTCCAGGCCTGAAAACACAATCTACCAACCACCCCTTCTCGGTGACAAAGCAAAACGGATGAAAACATCCTCTTTCTGCTTGTATTTTTCTAAAAGCATTTGCTATCCCTCCGTGCTTGACGGTGATTCAAAGAGGAAAATGCCAACGACAAAAATCTAGAAACTAGACCACAGGAGGGATACGAGAAAGGTGCACCTCAAAACAGGGCACAGCCCCAAAGCAGCTCACAGCTCGGCTGCGAGCAAGACTGTTTGCAAACACTCGCTGCCCAGAGAGTGGGCTCGACTTCTCTGAGGGGTCCTGGTGGAGCTCACAGAGCACTCGGACAGCTGTGACCTCATTCTGTGCCCAGACCAGCCCTCTGTGGCTGGCAGGGGGGGAGGTGGGTGTCAGCAGTTTTCTATTGTAGATGAAGAATCAGAGGCACAGAAGGGATGACGCTGTTTCCAAGATCACTCAGCAAGAAATCAGAGCCGAGAAGTCCCCTGCCTCCGAGGCCCACTCCTACCCACCCAGCCCGCTTTCAGTCTGTCTTACCATTTCCTCATGCACAGAGTTTTAAACAGACCCCATGTCTTTCCTAAAGAAACGGAGGTGAAATTTTTAGAAGCCTCATGGAAAATATTTAAAAGGACCAAGAAAAGAAACAACATTGAGCTATCCCGAGTTATAAGGGGAAAAACATTCTATTAAAAAAATTGGAGTTTGTTTAGATACGATGAATTTGTTTTTAACTGTAAAGATAGATAATTGATCATCGTTCATTACTGTTTTCCAGAGCCACTGGAGGGACAGAGTGGAAGCATCTGTTGATACATGATGATTTGTGGAATAAAGGATCTAGTCTCCCAGTGCCTGTGGTAATTTCTTCCACCTCATTGTTCCCTAAAAAGAGAGCATATTATCAAGTTCAATTCTGTTCTTAAGGCATAAACCTTTCTGGTGTCATTATAGTAAAGATCTCATTTGATTGAAAAAGACTCCTTTATCTCTTTCAAGATTTGAATGCTGCTGCAAATCTGTGTGTCAATATTATAGGCTCTCCAGTAAATAAACTCTTTGCTGACATGTGGCGTTCTTACTCCACAGGGACATAGCACACCAGCACTGATAGGACCTTAGGGGGAAAAAAAAGAAAGAAAAAGAAAACCATGGTTTACCATTTGTCAGTATATTTAACAGCCAGCCAGAAAAAAGCCAAAGAAATGTGAAGGAATTTCTGCCTTGTTTGTAGCCAGGCAAGTCTCTCTTAACTAAGACAGAAAGAATGGATAACTTCAAAAAGACAGAACAGGGCATTATAATAGGCTTGTTGTCCCAGCATCTCTTGTGCAAAGGCGACTGACGAGGTGCTAATGAGGAGCTAATCACTTGGTCCAAGGAGCTGGAAAGAGACTGACTGATGGCTGCGAGAACACACTGTTTTCTTCTGCGGAAACCTCAGCCAAATCACAAGCATGGCTGATGCTCAGGCTGGGGAAGAGGGAGATGGGCAGGTAGGGCTTCCCCTGACTTTGCAGAGATAGAAACTCACCTTGAAGGGGTGGGGTGGGGGATGGTGGATGGATAGTAAGAGTTCAGAGTTCAGAGTTCAGAGTAAGAGTTCACAGGAGATCATTCAAAGGAGAAATAAGGAGACGAATTGAACACGGGATTAATGTGGGGCTACCTCTTCAGGGTGGGGGTGTTTGCAAACTAGATGAGACTTTAATCAGAACAGACCTGAGCAATGGATGCAAACTAGCTTGCCCACATTACTGCAATCAAAGAAGGGGCCCAGGTCTGCAAGTAGCTGCCGGCTGCCCACTTTAAACTAAGGACACTTGCACGTTGGCACAGAGAATTGAGGTGACTTGTACATAGTCACCCAGCCAAGCCATACCCAGTGCAGCCAGATCACTTCCAGCCTGATCCTCTGTCCAAGTCCTGTGGAACTTCTAACTTTCCCAAGGAAAATCTAACCCTTTCCCTACAGGCTCTGATTCAATTTGAATATCTGTGTTTCCAATTGAGTTGTTTCAGCCCCAAGATAGTTTCAGTAATCCACTTGAACTAATTTACATTTATATTTATATTTAATAGGTATTATTGAGGCCCAAATTCAGTGCTTCTCCCCCACCTCGAAAATGAATTAAATAAAATCTGCATCAAAGTTTAGTCTGGTTTTGTGTTTCTCTGAGAAAATGAGTCCAGCCTTAAAATATAAAGGTTCTGAAAACTCAGGACAGAGTCTCCCTTGAAAAGGTCTTAATGTCATAAATGATCCACAGTGCAGAAAGTCAGAAAGTCAATGGCTGTGTGTTGATGATAAAAGAAAATTTACAACATTTATAAGAAACCACATGCTTGGTGTACACTTATTTGTACACACATACACATGGAGATTGGTGGGAGATACACAAGTGGGGCACACTGGCTTGTTGGACCATATGGAACCAAACAGGACTGCAGAGGCAATTTGTGTGTGTGTGTGCGTGTGTGCATGTGAACAAGTATAAGTAACAAAATAGAAAGATGAATGTAGTTTGTACGATGTGAGCTTGAGCACCTAGAACAAAATACAACACTGATAATTGTTTTCAAATAAAGTCATCAGGTTTGCCTCTGTATGGTTGTGACATCACTTGGCCCAGAAAATCTATTTTCCCGGTCAATAAACACAATATCCTTGACCAGAAACTCTCATTCCTCCTAAAGAAATATCTAAGTGAATACAAGGAGATTCTTGTTACTCATATTAAAGGCAAGAGGCAAAGCAGGAAAAACAACTTCAGGGAGAAAAACAATCGGTAAAACTCTGGAGAAATTTGTCCTCTGGACTTTAAGGTAAAATATTGCAAAATCCTGAAGTGAGCTTCCAAAAACACCCATGATGATGCAGCAGTCTGAGAGCGGATGCATCTTAAGGACTTTTCTCAAGACTTCTGCTGTGATTAATGGCCGTTGGTAGAGAAGGTGTGACTTCAGCTTAGAGATTTCTGCTGGCTGCTGCACCTCCATGTGGTACATAGTGAGTTAGAAAGGGGTCCGGTCCTTCTGGAGCCCACCACCCTATAGGGAGAGAGCTGATAAGCTGGGGCTTGGGGAACAGCTACAGCCTCTCTCCCAACCAGGAGAAAAGGGAGCTGAGCTGCCTCTCTTGTTAGGACCATAGGAAAGACCTACAAAGACGTACGGCAAGTCCTTTGTCCATCAGAATCCACCGCCCCTACCTGGCCACCAGGCTGCAGTCAGGACCTATTACTTCTGAATCTGGAAGTGCTGGGGGACTGGGGAGCCAGGAACAGGGCCCTCTAATTCTTTATAAACCATTTCACTTTGTACCACATCAAGATATGCTGCAAAATCGTTTGTCTTTAGCAGACAGGATTTCATGCCTTGATTTGCAGTCCCCTCAGGGGAAAACCAATATGATGAGAACCACTGTCACTCCGACCGAGCAGAAAGCCTGGCTCAGCACCAGGGGTGGGCAGAGAGAGGTCAAAACTCCCTCTCCAGGGGTCAGATCCCAGCCATGGCTCCTCTGCCCCTGGTGGCTATAAAGTTCATAGATGGGGAAGCAGTGGGCGGGGAGCGGAGAGGGGGGGTGTTGAGGGTGGGCCACCAAGGGTTCCAGATGGGATTTGCAGGGATCCACCACATGCATCTCAATGAGCTCTGCGGTAAACTTCACTGCACAGAGGTTAATCTAGATGTCAACGTTGTCTGACAGCACTGAAATTACTCCAGGGCAGGGCTCCTTCAGAAGTCTTAATATAACAGTCAATTCCATCCTGCCTGCAGGAAATGAAAGTTTTCTGCTTTGTGTGCCGAATCATTCAGCGCCAATTTTCTCACTGTTTGAAGTCCAAACTGTTTGTGGTCCTGGGATTCACCTCATATTAAGACTTTCACGGAGTTTGAGAAGCTGGATTGTCAGTCCTATCGAAGTAGGTTAGGAGCCGGAAGGGGGGAAAAAAAAAGAAAAAGAAAAAGTAAAAAGATAAAAAATGAAGGACAATTCTTCTTTACTGATATTTCCTTCTCTCCCAAAGAAAGCAGAAATCAAATCATCTGGACCAGGCTTATTTATTCACTTTAGAGGTGGGCTCGGGGGCATCCGCTAATGTGGGGAAGCTGTTAAATGGAGATAGGATATTAACACTTCTCCAAGAAAACATAAAAGATTGAAGGAAGCTAATCATTGATATATGCCCTACCTGTTAACATATTACAAAATTTGTTTTTATGACTCCCATGTACTCTTCTTAAATGAAGGAATAACTACCAGGCTTAAGTATTCATATTTCTCATTGCGCTTTAGAGACATTGCATCCAAAAGAATGTACACAGCAGGCATCCAGGCTCTTAATCCACCTTTGGATGTTCAGGAAGGATAGCTAAATTTGTCAGTGTTTCAAGTGCGAGGAAACCAACTTCTCTCATAAGATGTTAACCTGAAAAGCAAGACCTGAGTGACACGGTATTTCTCAGAAAGAGAATCCAACAGGACTTTTCTCAGCTATACTACCTTGATACGTCTTCTGTTAGAAACTTCTAGATTTGTTGACTGTAAGTATCTCCCACAAGCTACAAGCTTGGGCCACGGCACTGCACACAAAGCAACGTTGACCTTAGTGATTAGGAAAAATTAATAGGGCTTACTGTCCTGCCTCTGCGTGACAGGAGACAGCCCAGCACACAGGCTTAAGACATTATCTCCCACTGCGAGTATCAAACCAGGTCTTGTTTTAAATTTGAAATGTAGTTACTAAAGAGGGGGAGGAATCTGAATTTTCTTACTTTGACCAAGAATTCCAAGTACTTTGAGCACCCCACTCCCCGCCCTGGGCAAATCTCCTTGGATCTCCTTGTGAAACAGAGAAGTGTCTATGCTGGCACACTGAGACTTGGGTCAGAGGCTCTCTTGTTGCAAAGTACAGAATTTGTTTAGGCAGTCGAGGTAACTATGATTAGGAAGAATGCACCAGGGAAACAGAGACTCTGTAAGAAGCCAAGACACAGATCCTTAGGGTGGAACAGCCTAGGCTCACAGCAACAGCCCCTATACCCAATGAAGTGCCACAGCTATTCACCACATCCACCACAGTCCAGTCAGCAGTGCCTTTCAGAAAGAGTGAATAACCATCAACATCTCACATTCTCTCTGTCCCATCCCCCCTAGGTGTTGGTGTCACCTGCAGTGCAACCAACAGATGGGACGTGATGTGGAAGAAATGGTTGGTTTTTGTGTGATCTATCAGACAAACAGGAAGAGTGATGTTCAATGCTCAGAATGTTGTTGTCAGCATAGTTTAATTCAGGGGTCACCAAATGACCAAACTTTATCAGATGGCAGATTTTCCATCAGGACCTTTCTGAATGTCTCTTAGGCCAGTCCATCCCTGGATTTCTCTTCCCCGAGGAATGCAAGGCTCGAAGAGATCAGGCATCATGAGTCAATCTGCTAGTTCCAAGGGGACCTTCACTGAAGCCATTCCAACTAAACATATGGATATAAGCACACGTGGGTGGGACTATATTCTCCTTAGGATGACACGCCCAGTGATCTTAAGCAATCTCAAAACATGTTCTGAAGCCTATATATTGATATCTTAATGATGATACAAAAACTTGGAATCTTTCTTTGAAAATTATTAAGTGTTGGCCAAAAAAAACAATTGGTATCAAAGAAGATACTGGTGCTCCAGGAACCAAAAACATGGTGGTCGCAGCACCAATTTTTGTTCTAAAGCAAACGCCATAGGGTATTCTAGCAGGTTGGCTCCCAATCAAAGGTGGCAATTGACATCCCAGGGGTGTTTGAGGGCAGTTCTCTAGACCAGCAGCACATGGGCTCATGCAACAAACCTCTATAGATGCTTCTTTGCTCCAGACTCTGAGCAAAGCCCAGGGAAGACCCCAAATCCCACTGGAGTAACCATATCTCGAGTCAAAATAATACTGCTGCTGTTTGGTTTGGAAAAGTGGGGCAAAGAAGCCACTTGTCATTCCTGAATGGAGAAGAACTCTGGCGAAGAGTCTGCAACTTCAAACACTGCCCTCTTTCCAACGTCCCAGCTCCTCACAATAGCAGTTACAGTTAAACATCTGTTGGATTGTGACCCAGAGTACAGATGGTCAGTGGCCTGCATGAGAGGGAGGCAGGTCTGACTGCATATCGTGGACTAGTTACTTCCACCTTTAGGGATGTTGGTGTTGAATGGAGTAGGATGGCTAGTTGAAGGGGACAGGCTGGTGGAGGTCAGCCAAGGGGCCAGGTGACAGCGTCCCTTGAAGAGCATGAACACGGGGTCCCTGGCTTGTCTGCCTGCCCCCTCCAATAACCTCAGACCTAACAGTCACTGAGCCTTCCTTATTTGCCTTCTATATCAACTTCTTGTCATTAGTAACTTTTCCTCCTTCCCCTCCACACTTATCTTTCATTTTCTCTCTTATTTCTGACAAGCACGATAAAAGCAAAAAAAGTGAGACCAGGACATAATATTTTTAACTGAGAGGGACCTGAAGAATATCTATTCCAACCTTCTAAATGTCTCAGATGAAAAATCTGATCATCTGAGAGATGAGCTGACTTGAACAAGGTCACCTGTGTAACTAGAGTCAAACCAGGAGTTTCAGTGGTCCGTCCACCAGTCCACATTCTCACCTAACTTCCCATGGATCCTGTACTCCCCAGGCATGACTGACTCACTTTTCCTTCTGAGCTGAGGCTCATGCAGCCCCAGAAACTGTCTGTCAGCCCTCCTGGTGGTGTTGGTTTCTGTAGGATTTAGCACCAAAAATACTTGCACTAGTGTATTCCGCAAAGTGGGCATCGCCAGAGGACGGTCATGTTCAACCCGAACCCCAAAGGACCAAGGACTCTTTGCCTCCAGTGGGAAGCCTCTCTCCAGGGATGATTTGTGCATGGTCTTCTGAGTGGAGGAAGCATCGGGTTTTTGTCTCTTAACTAAATGAGGCTTAGTGACCCTCAAGGTCCACTCAGAGGTCAGGGATACAACCAGAGGGCAGCATTTGGTTCACGTCCAAAGTAAAGAAGAGCCAGAAAGAACCTTGGCCATGGCATCCTACTCCAAGGTGGGCATCCAACAGCAAGTCACACACACTCAGGCCAGGTGGGGACTGGGTGAGGGTGGCATGGTGGGGAGATCAGCCTTGGGGGCCCAGAACATCCACCACGGTCATGAAGGGGCTCACATCGAGCCACGCCCTCCGAGTTCTGGTGGAGCCTGGTAGGGGACAGTAAGAATGAAGCGGACTGGAGTGGCCATACTGGCTAATGGGATGTCATTTCAAGACTCACTGAACCACATCGGGTTCTTTAAAAATAAATAAATAAATAACCCTTCAGCAGGGCTTTTGGGGTGCAGAGGAAGGCTAGGGAGGTGAAGGAGATCGGAGGCTCCCTCTAGGCCTGACAGAGCTACCCACAGAGGAGGAGAGGAGTGTCTTATGGGAACCCACCTGTGCCCAGGCCCATGAGCCCTTTGGGGCAACTGCCCCCACCCACCCAAGGCCTGTGGAGGGCTGTCCTGGCAGTCCAGAGTGGAACTGAGAAAAAAGGACAGAGACTCAGTGCTGTTAAAATCTAAGGATTTCAGAGCTGAGAAGGGGCCAGAAAGGAACAAGCACACCCCTCATTTTGCAGTCCTGTCCCTCTACAGAAGGAACAACTGACTCTGCTCAGCCCACAGCCCTGAGTACCCACTTCAACGCCCCATTCTCTGTCTCCTCCACTCTTCAAAAAGGCTTTTTCATTTTTTTCACCTGCTGAGGTTAATAAGTCAAACTGAGGACTCTCTACAAAACAAGGGGAGTAAGAAAGCCGGTCCTCTCTCTCTGCTCCTCCCAGTGTCTCCCGACTCTGACAACAGGCAGCTGCTTCCGAGGGATGTGACGAGGCCATGACCCCGAGGGCAACACGGAGACACGAGGGGAATCTGACAAAGCCATTCTCCTTGTTCTCAAAGGAACTTCCTTCCTCCATGAGGCTGTGATGACTCAGGGCCCTGAGCTGAAACCGTGCTACATTCCAAATTCCCAGTTGTCCACTAACCCCTTCAGACCCTCCCTTCTTCCCAGAGCATCTGAGCATCATTCTAGGGACACACAGCCAAGAAGATGGAAGCCATACAGTGTACTGGGGAGGATGTGGCAGCAAAAGAAGCCTCATATCTAACTAGGAGACACCTCCCCCCAGAGGCCTTCCAGATTGCTCCCTCCTTGAATATCTTTTCCTTAGTTGTCTAGAGCAAAACCAGACTGCATGGTTCAACCCAGCATTAACAGCCCCAGAAGAGACCAATAGCCTCCAGGTGGAAAGACAACAGGGGTAATTGCCAAGGGACAGCAAGGGATTCCTTTGAGGTGGTCCATCCAAAGAGCTCTCCTCTGAAGTCCTCAGGGCTGGGAGCACAGTACAGTGAGAAAACCCACGCCAAACTCTAGCTCACCTCCCTCCCCATCCCGTCCAGCTCAGCGGCCCCACAGATTCCTGAATCTCACCGTGGCCTATGTAGTCTGAGCGCAGCTCTTTTCTATTTCAGTAAAAATAGACACGAGGGGAATCTGGGGTCTAAAAAAAGAAGCAAAAGCACAGACGTGGACTGCTGTTCTGAACCCCACCCAGGATGCCCACGCTGCAGCTGACCAGGACGGACGTCCAGGCTGCCGGCAGTCCCTTAAGCTGGCAGGGTGGGGACCAGGTCGGGGGCCCCAGGAGGCTCCCGCTGGACAAAGGCCAGTCCATTCGGTGGTCTGTGCTTGCGGTGAGGTGGAGGGGCCGGTGGCCTGGGAGAAGCACATCTTCTCCTCCCCAGCGGGAGGGCTCTGTGGGGCCAGGCTGTCGGTTTCAAAGGGCATTTTGTTGTCATGTGTCGGGGGGCCCCGAGATCCACCCCTGTCGCAGTCCTTGACAGCAGCAGCCAGGAAGGCAGCGATTCCCCTGGTGCTGGGGCAGAGGGAGCTGGCCTCAGCCCAAATGCTTCATTCTCTCTCCCCGGTCAGGGTTCGGTCCTCATTAAGATGCTAAGCCTGCAGCAGTGGCCAGGCATTGGACACCCGAGTGCAGCCTCGGCCCCTCCCCCTGCCCCCAGTCCACAAAAGCGATTTCTCAGCCCCTGCGTTTTCACAGCAGCTCAAAGGCAGATGCATCAATCCTTCCAGGGGCTGGAAACGTGAGGAGAATGCCAAAGGGCCGGGTGCAGGTGCCAAATAGATTCTCCCCTGCTGGCTCCTGCCCACTCCACGGCCTGGCTCCCTGAAACACGCACTGCCCCGGCCTCTCGCTAGACCTGGCTCCCTTCCCCGGCAGTGGGCTTTACCTGGGACTTAGCAGAGGCCCAGGAAGTGGGGGCTAGAATCTAGGGGAGGCAGGCTGAGAAACAGAGGACCCACAGGGGCACACCTTATAAGACCTGCAGGGAATTAAGCCTCCTGCTGTTGGAATCCTGCTGTGTCCACATTTGCAGACTGCATGGGGGATGTCTGACACCCTCCCCCTCAACTCCCCAATAGCCTGAATGCTGGAGGTGAGGCCAAGGAGCCTTCCAGTGATGGAAAGACGGGAGGCAGTGCCTTGATAGGGGTCATTTCAGCCTTTCCTTTTGTGGTTCTTTAAATCCAGAAAGTCCAGTTCTTGAAGTTCAGAGGACAGATGGCACATCTCTTTCAAATTCAGGAAAGAACTTGAGCCTGGTTTACACCAAGATGGATGTAGTCCACTGTCGTGTGGTCTCAAGTTTTGTTGTTTTTTGTTCAGCGTTTACCTATAGGCGCCGTGACTGACTCCCCAGGGCATCAGGACTCTACCTTCTAGAATGGACCAATTAGAAAATTGTCTTGAAGTGGAGGAAAGGGGGAAGGCGTGGAGGTGATGGTCAGGGGATGAAGCATGAAGCGTTCCGGAAGCCCCTGGTCCGGTGGTATTTCCTTGCTGAGCCGGTCGATGCGGTCTGCCCACGCACCTGTGCAGAGCTTGGGGCGAACACGCCTGCGCAGGGGATCCCCTGGGCAGCAGTGACTGGCACTCCACCCCAGCTCCTCCCGTCCCAACACGAAGATTGTCTCTCTGCATCGTCAAGGTCTTCTGCTTCAAAAAGCCGGAGCTGATTAGAAGCCCGGGCCACAGCCTACGTTGAAGGGAATTTTCATTTGCATTCATAACAGTTAAGATTTTCTGAATTGTTGTTACAGTCTTGCGGTTTCTGTATCAGCAGTTTCTCTGTGTCTTAGAGAAAAAGGTATCTCTCTGTAGATATAGATAGATAGCTAGATATATAAATGTGTGTGTATATATATATATATATATATATATATATATATATATATATATGCCAAACTGCCTTACAGGTTTTTTTTTCCTTTCTCTTTTTTTTCAGTGTTGTATGTGTAGCAGGCACTTGAGTTTATATGAAGATGTTTGCTTCAGTCAAGGATGGAGGAAAAGAGTTTGTGAGGTGGAAAAGGAGGGGTCTGAGGCCGGGGAGAGAGGAGGCAACAGAATATGAATTCGTGACCACCAGCCACCACTAGCCAAGGATGTCCAGGTAGATGGGGGTGGCTTTCCCCAAAGCGTGGAGGATTTTGTAGATCTCCTTGATGTTAAGCCGCTGCTGCGGTTCCCTCTGCCAGCACCCCAGCATGACGTCGTAAACCTCTTTGGGACAGACACGGGGCCGCTCCAAAACACGGCCTTGGGTGATGCACTCAATGACCTGGAAAAGCAAAGAGAACAAGGAAGTTATCTCCAGAGCTCAGCCTCAGCCCCCGTGAGCTCAGCAGAAGGCAACAACTTTGGTGCAGAGCTGCGGTACCCACAGCGCAGGCTGAGGCTGGGCTGGAGACAGCCTGGAGTTTCTCGTCTGCTCTCTGGGCGGGTTAAGAGGATAATGATCCAGCCCTGGCTGGTCCAGCCCACTGCTCCCCTCTGGACTCCATCTCTTAGGCCAGGCCTTTGACTCCCACCCTCCCTCGCCCTTTGCATTCTGCCTTCTAGTCCTGAATCTTACCTAGATGACTGAGCTGCATTCATTTTCCACTTGGCAGCAGAGATGGGCATCCGAACAGTCCCACCCCCTCTTAGGAGCCTGCATGACTTTGAGACCTCCTTGAAGCAGCTCTGCATGTCTGGCTCCTCCAGGCCCATCTTCCCTTAGCTCTCACTTCCTGGCAAGTTCCCCTCCCAGTCATAGGCTCTGTGCACACCATAACCTCTAAGCCACTATATAGGTCCCTTCCTCAGTGAGGCACATCCTCCCTTGCTCTTTGCACTAAACCACATACTCTGTCTCTTTACAAGTCCTTAACACTCAGACTAACCGTCTGATTCACCACCGCCCAGCTGGGTGCCCAGTACAAGTCAATTAACCTCATAGGATCTCAGCATCCTCCCCAGTAAGATGAGGAGAGAATGCTGACTTGACCACCTCCTAAGACTGCTGTAAGGACCAAATGAGGCCAAGAAAAGGGATCGTATGACCCAGCGTGCCACAGGGGAGGCCGCACGGAGGAGTAGGAAGAAAACAAGTAACACACGGCCGGACCAACCCCAGCTGGCCCTTCGGGACTTCGCCTGTAATTGGTGGTTCATTTCTACTTCCTCAAAGGCACCTCTTTGCTAACACTGACTATGTGAATTTTCAAGGTTCCATCTTCCAGGTTCCAGGTGTAACCTTGGGCAACTTATGTACCTGAACTAGGTTTGAAGACAGGTCATGATGATCAAAATACACAGAATCATCTCTAGTAGAGTACCTGAGAAATGGTATCCCCCCCACCTCCAATTAGTCTTCATGTAGGAGGGCAAGATGAATGCCCTTTTTCTCTTTGCATCTCCCTACGCTGACCCCAAAAGCGCCTTGTCTGGAGAGTTGCCTTATGTCCCTCTGACCCTGGGATAGACTGTCAAACAATCACTGTGTCAGCACTTTCCTGGTCCCACTCACCCCAGAGTCTTGAAAGGCCTGCAAGACTCAGTTCTTTGCCAGCCTGATAGGTCTCCAGCTGTGTATGGTCCCTGTTTTCATTTGAGCCTGTCTCCACCCTCCGCTACCTTCACCTTCACGAAAGGGGGTCCAGTTCAAAGTGCAGTAGCAGCTGCCGGTGCTGAGATCAAAGGCACTGAGTAGTGTCTCCTCCAATGAGGGGCTATCCAGGGTGTCAGTTCCTAGAGAGGAACTCACCACCAGTGACTGCCAGGACTTGACTACTGGGGCGAGGGGAGCAGAAGAGGTGGCTGAGGGTAGGAAGCCCATCCTCAAGGCCAATGCCGTACCAAGCTATTAGCGACTCTGAGCCACTTTAGGTATCCAGGCCAGACCTGCTGGGACCAATAGGACCCTCAGCCCAGATCCCCCTCCTTCTGAGGGCCACCAAACTCTAGCTCACCTCCCTCCCCATCCCATCCAGCTCAGCAGCCCCACGGATGTGTTCAGGGGTGCTTCATGTCTGTGCCTGTGTACATACACATGTGTGGAGATGTGTCACATGCACGTGTGTACTTGTATGCATGTGTGTGTGTGCATGTGTGTGTATGTTTACCTCTACCTCCTACAACAATTTGTTTTAAGCACCACAAGAAATGAGTTCTGAGATACACACTTTCATTTTTTTTAAAGGGCATTAAAATGTTTTGTTCTCTACTTTTGGAAATGTGGTCAGGACTCATTTAGCTTGCAAAGGACGAGATATTACAGATTTAAAGAAATGCCTTCTTTTGTCTTGGATATTCACTTAATTAAATGGACAGGGTATAGGAAGGCAAAGGTGAACACAGCTTCTGAAAAGAAAGATACTTCCCTGAATATTC